CCCCCAAAAAAAGCAAAGCAAATTAATGCTTTTAAGTTAACAATTATCTGGGTTATCCAGTCTGTCTACTTTAAAATACAGAGACAGGCACTTGAAAAACACTCAAAACCATGTACCCTCATGCTCACTCACTCGTAGTCACACAAGCTTACCCACCCACTCAATCCACACACAGTTCTCAAAGATACTAAAGTGTACATATCCACGCTTAATAACCAAATCACAGTAGACACTGACACCCAACTACATCACCTGTGGGTGAGCATGGTAAACTTCCCTCTCACACACACACTCACCTGTATACTCAGGGCTTCCTTCCTTGTCTCTCCCCATCCTCCCCATCCCTTTCCACTTTGGTTCTTTGGGAGGATGGAATCTCTGGAGAAAAGGCGCTTAAGTATATAGTACCTGTACTCTACATATAAACACACACCCGCACACACATATACACACTACACCCAGAGGTATAATAACTGTGCAAGGTATTTGCCAAGAGTTTCTATAATTTAAAGAAACCCACTAGAGCTTCCTTTAAAAACATGTGGCATAAGGGCACACCTGCTGGCACTAGTGACACCTAGGAGATATGTTTGGGAGCAAGTGATGACCACAGCACTCCCATCTATGGGTAAGGCTGCTTGTCACTACTTGTCCTTCCTGTGGCACTGGCCTGCAGATTGGGGTCCAGAGATAGCCCTCTAACCCAACAGACCTGTTGTTAGGCAATCTCTGGCAGTCCAGGTTGATATATTTCCTGAATAGCAGCATCAAAGGTAGCTGAAATGACAAGTTTCCACTCTATGCCAGGCTAGACTCAGGGATCAGAAGGAAGGAAGATGCACAGCTAATTGCAGCCCAGTCAGAGTGAGTGTGGCCTGAATAGGAGATAAATAGTGAACAAAACTCTTAGTAAGTTCCTTGAGGGCAGGGGCCTCCACTCTGGCTGCATATCCCCACAGCACCCAGCAGGGTGTCTGATGAAAGAGGAAGCACCTCGGAGGGATTCTGAGTCCTTCTGTCCCTGAACAATGAGCTGATCTCCGCTTGGCACCTGTCCCTTCTAGGAGTCTCCATCAGCCCTGGGAACCCCCTTGAATATACTCTTTGCTCCCCCTTTTGCCCTCAGCCCCCCCAGCCTCACTAGGCCACTACAGACACTGGCTCCAAGTTGAAAGAGGTCCTTATCTTGTCTCTAGATTACTCGAATGAAATCTGTTCCTTCCTTCAGACTAAACTCCCTAGCTAATTCCATGTTATGAGTAAGTCAGCACACACTACAAAAGCCAGCTTTGTTTATGAAAACACAAGCAAATCCACAGTGGGAGAGGGGCTGCTCCCAGGCTGGGGGTGGCAGTGGTCGTGGGCTGTCTGGAAGCAGGATGGGAGAAGAGGCAGTTTGGGGTGGGAAGGGGTGGGGGTGGGGTCTGGTCTGTGACAGCTGAGAATCTCTAGTACTCGGGTTCTGTTAAAGGACAGGTTGGAGGAGGAAGGGGGTGGTTGAAGAGGCAGTGTTTGGGAGAAGAGGATGGCATTGATATGGCACCTTCCTTTTAATGAAGTGGGAGCCTATCCAGTACACAGAGCAGCTTAAGGGCCAGGTGCTCAGTCCCCGGGGACACAGCGACCCGACTGCCAGAGACTCAGGCTTCCCCAACTCCCAAGTTCAACTTTCCCTTCTGGCTCAGCCACTTCCACACCCCAGCTTGGCTTCAGGAGCCCCTGGGACAATAGGCAGAATCATATCCTCCTCAGCAAAGCGTTGCCAGGAGGAATTTTCTTTTTGTCCATATAAATCTCTTCCTGGGTGAGGACATGATGGGGGAAGGGTGCAGCAAGAGGTCAAGGGGGAGGGGAGGCTGTCCCCAAGAGATCTGTAGCCCACCAGCCTGGTTTCTGCCAGCAAAGCCTTGGGACTGGCCAGGCAATGAGCCTGGGGTCAGGGATGGGGGCCGGAGGGCCTCCCTGTCTCTCTGTCTGTAATTCCTAGAGGGATCTGTCAGAGCTCCCCGGCCTGGAATTTTACTTTGTTATTTTAATGCAATTCTGACCTGGATTTAAATGGAATTGGAAACCCGAGGCCTTAATAAATAAATATTATGATAAGAAATGAAAGCCATGCAAGACGAAAGAGATTTCCCCCCAAAGAGGCAGAAAGCGACATTCTTGCTGGGAGCCAGTCAGAAATTTTCTTCTCTTCTTCAGCCCCTTACCATCCAGTGAGAGACGAGCTGGTTTTTCCAGAAAAGATCCTATTTTTCTTTAACATTTTTCTACTGATAAGACAACAACTTGGAAATTTTGTCTGACTTTGCATGAGGGCTGGGGGTGAGGGGAAGAAATACATGGCATGGCTGAAAAGTTTCATTCTCTCAGTCTCTCCAGGCCACAGCTTAAGTTTCTGGCAATGTCTGAGAAGAGAAGATTCTCTCTCAAACTTTTGGAGGACAGGAAGTCTTTCGAAGATGCTGGGGTGGCAATGAAGTCGGGAAGAATTCTGAGGTGCGTGGCGACTTCTGCCCAGGGTCCCCCAAACTTCTCACTGCTCCGTGTCGCTCCTGGCTCCTCCAGCCTTTCGCCCGGGACGCAGCGCCCAGAGGTTAGGTCCCCAGCCGGAGTGCGGGTGCACAGTGCTAGGCTCTGACAGCGGCACGCTCCCCAGCACCTGCCCTGCCCCTCGGAAATCGCACCCCCGCCCTCGGGCCCCGCAGCCCCCCCAGCCCCGCCGCCGCGCGCCCCTCCTTCCTTACCTTGCGCGGCTTTGCTGTGCTGGGCGGCGCGGGCGTGGACCAGCAGGACGAGCAGGCAGAGCCCGGGCACGCGCCCCGAGCCCATGGCTGGAGCTCCCGGGGGCCGGGCGGCCGGGGCCGGTCTCGCAGCCCCCGGAGGGCGGAAGCCGGCCGGGCCCCCGCGCGGCGGAGGGGGGAGGGGAGGGGGCGTCCCGCCGGGGCCGGACCGGGGGCTGCGGGAGCGGGGTGCGGACCGCGGTGCCCTCGGCGGGAGGCTCCCGATGCTGCCGGCTTCTCCCGGCCCGACGTCGGGGAGAGCGAGGCGGAGAGAGGCTGGGGGCGCCCGGCGCCGATGACGGAGGGGAACCCCCGCCCTCTCCAAGCCGGGCTC